TCTTTTTTTAGTCTAAGAATTCAATTCATTAGTCTAAAATTAAAATAGTAATAATAATACTTTTTATAAGAAATTATTTGTAAAAAGAAAATGGCAATTATTAGTGTGAGAAATATCTAGTTTTTGGTAGTAGAGTGCGTGCAGGCTGCAGTGACACAAAATCACGAAGTGGTCGCAAGATATTTTAATGGTCGCAATGGATTGAAAATATAAAGATGTAAACTTGGCAGCAATATAAATCAGTTATAATTGCTTATTCTTTAAAGGCACCATAGATTATACAAATACATGTTCAATTATTGAGAAGTGTAAACGAACATATACGCTTATTCTCACATGGTTGGCATTTTTACAAATTATTGAGAACATATATACAGTGCTGGCACGGCTTGCCTTCTTTAAGACAACGGGATCATGCAGTAGCGGCATGATTGATCGAATAAATTTACTAGGTTTCATATTCTTCACGCTGTTAAAAGCCAAAAGTATCAGAAAGCCAATTGACCAGAACGTGTCTGAGCACTAAGGTAATTGAAATATAAAATAAATATATTTAAAAATTATTTATTTACGTTCATTCTTTCTTTTATTTTAGATTAAATAGGTCCAGCAAAACATAGAAGAAAGAGGAGAAATCATGCTCGAAATGCAGCAAAGCAAAGGTAAATAAATTGTTATATATGTATAAGTATGTATTACTTATTTGTGTTCTTTCTTTCTTTTATTTTAGATTAAAAAAGAATGATTGTGCCACCGGCCACCACCTCATATACACGATGATCCATTGTATCCAAAAACTAAGTTTGTGTTTATCCTTACTTATTATTATGTATAAATTTGTTTTTATTTCATTTTAGATTTAAAAAAAAAACATACGCACTATTGCTTCAGCAGAATGCAATACTTCCGTAGGCCAAATATAAGTCTGTGGTCATCTTTATATGTAAAATTCAGTAATCATAATATTTTTCCTTTGCAGATATCAAGACGTTAAGAAACAACAGCCGCACAGCAGTGATCGTGTTTATATTTATTTCTTTCGTAGATTTTTATGTATTTATGTATTTTGTATGTTAATTATGTATAAACGGGACTTTTATTTGTTTATTATTTTTATTGTAAATATTATAATTTTAAAGTAAGTTTATAATGGTGTACCCTATAGGGGACCCAGCCATTTAAAACAATTGGCGTCGTGCCAATCACGGTACCTCAAGGGCGGAAAACCGTGCCACGAAGCCGATACGTAGTTAATTTTGGTTTTTCGCCACCACCTGCTAAATCCTGTATGTGAAGTCCTTTCACTCAAAAACGATTCTAAGTGTCGTCATGAAAGCAAAGAAAAAAAGAAAAGGACGAACTTGAATGAGCTCCGTTAAGCATAATATTAAAGACAGTTTTTAAGAATAGAATTCATACTCTCACGTAATTCAAAATTTGATACTCTCACATAATTCCAAATTTCATACTCTCACAAGGTAGTTAAAAGTAATTAAATATTCAAAATGGTTTCGGAGTAGTTTCATAAAATCGAAAATGTTTTTATTTACTAAATGAGAATAGAAATGTTCAAAAGTAAATCCCAGAAAGGAAAAGAAAAGCAATTAGATTGATTTAATAAATATGCAGATATTGAGTTTATCCATGTAAGAATGAAATCTATGAATGAAATGGATGGAGTGAAATCGCTGAAAACATGTGACTTTTGCTTTCTCATTTCATTCCGATTTGCTATTTTAACTTGAGATTGTGCCACTGTTACGTGTTACGTGCTGCCAAGTAATAAAAAATATAAATAAAAGAATTGGGAGACTTTTGCCGACGGCTTTGCAATTAACGTAAAGTATTACGTTCTTTCTGTAAATAGCATAGAGTATTACAATTTTCTGTAAATAGCATAGAGTATTACGTTTTTTCTGTAAATAGCAGAAAATTTAGCTACTGTTTTGTTTTTAGGCTAATTTGTACAATTAAATAAACTTAGTTCGCGTATTTTCCAAAACACTAAACAACAATTTAGTCGCAAGCCAAATTATTTTCGATTTATTTATTTATTCTCACAATTATATTCTTACGATTCATAATAATCAGCTGTAATTTGAAGAAAATTTTCGGATTAAAATTATAAAATTGCATTGATTGAAAGATGGGAAAATTGAAACGATATTAATAGAAATAAAAACTAGTGAAAATTCTTCAAAAACTCGGGAAGAAAAATGTTTCGTAGTGGAGTTGGTTTGGTGGCGCTTGGAATAAACCAGAGGAGATGATAGAAGAGCAAAAGCGACCAAGTCAAGGAAAAAGAATCGAAAACAATGAGAAAACCATTAAAAAGAATAAAAATTTCTTTTATATATATATCTTTATATATATTAATATAGCTATTTTAAATATATAATAAAGCTATTATATAAATATTATTATTATTATTATTTTAATTTTAGACTAATGAATTGAATTCTTAGACTAAAAAAAAAAAAAGACATTGAGCACTAGCAACACAGGCTATCGGCTCTAATTTAAAAAAAAAAAAGGATATTAGATAATAAGCTTAGTAGTATTAATAAAGTAAAATATTGA